AAGATTTGACCCCGAAACTTCATTTCCACGGCTGTCACGCTGCCTTTGCCACTAGTAACAAACAACTACTTCTTGTTGGCTTAATATAAATATAAAATATATTGTCATAAAACTAAAAATTAGTGTTCAATGTAACGTAAATCATTCATGACCTTAATAAAGTGACGATGGATCACAAATAAAATTCTTACTTCAGCTGCTCTAGGTAGAAATATAAATTATTTTCTTCAAAACGATGAATAATAAAGAGGAGAAAAATCATTTAAAAATGGAAGTGAAAAATAAACAGTCTGATATGGCTATAGAAATTATTTTAAAAACATAACCTGGTTTAACCTCTTTGTATTGAGTTCATTCCTGTTATCACGTTTTTGTGTGGTTGATTTGAGTAAAATTTGTACGAGCTGTACTGAATAACATATGAAAAAGGAACAACACAACACAACCACAACAAAAACAAAAACACATGACAACAGAAAACTATTAATTTAGTTAACTAAAGAAGAACTTGTGAGGTAAGAAATTCTCAGATTTTTATTAATTTAAGGGATGTTATCTCCTTGAGCTTTATCTTAATGCTTAACAATACAATACTTTGTCCTAAATCAGAAGACAACTAAATTTTCAAACACCATTGCTTTTTACACAGTAAAACATAATACCATGTAAACACATTTACCTAAAAACTAAAAATCCCATGAACGAATACAATATTGTAGTTGGATTGGAACTGCAATTAGTTGCACATGCTGTAACATGAGATCAATGTTGGTAAAAAGATTTGATTACTGTTGCCAACAATCCACATAAACAAGTAATGATGTTTCATTTATTAGGACGTGGATGTATATGATTGCTTGGGACATAAAAAGTCAAAACTCTTTCACTTTTGTTAGTATCCTGTTGTGACGATACTTAATTATTTATCACAGTATTATTATTTTAGTCAGCAAATGTAAAATGTATTATTACTTAATGTATAGTGTTAATTCTCAAACAGTAAATAATCTAGCCAAACGTTTGGTTCTTTTCCTATTATGTTTAAATGTATGTTCTATGAAGCAAGAACAAAAGATAGCCATGAGTATCTGTATGTAAGCTATCAGAAATACCTCATGTAGGTAAATCATACTACTGTATCTATTTTGCCACTATAAGCGTGTAAGCGGATAAATCATAGTAGTTTACGATAGCTGCGTACACTACTTTACCTACGACAGTTTTTTTTTCTTTTTATTACTAACAATCACTAATTGTCTAAGAGAGGTTATGTTTTCGTTTATAGCCTCTCATGGCTACTGAATACTGGTTGTGACACAACTACTCATTGTCACAACCACTCACTCATTGTATAATCCATTAAGTTGCCCTTAACAGCAGATAAGTTGATGCATTACAATTTTACCTCTTGTCTCTCAATAATTGAACCTCATTGGCCCAAAACTTGTACTGTTAAGTAACAAAAGATTGCTGTAAAGTAAGTAAACAATACTGTAAAGTGATTATTTTCGCTTTTAAGAACTGAATTGGAAAGGTTAGTTTAAAACACGATCGTAGGTTTACCCTTTTAGCTTTGGTAAAATTAGCATTAAATTCATCAAGTTAAATATTATGTGTAAATGCTAGTTACACATAATATTACAATTGATCTTGTAATGCAATTATTTCTTTAAAATGTTAGTTTACTACCTTAATTTACTATAATGGATATAATGTGTCGTTAGAAAACCCGCGATTACTAATTGCAGTTCCTGTTATGAATTGTAAATGTTGGCATGTGTGACGCCAGACAGAGAACAAATGTTGCCTCCAACTTTATGGACCAAATTGGCACATGAGCTGCTCAACCGAATGTCACTTTAAGACACAAGAATCTGCGGAAATTGAAAATGTGTCTGGAATATTGTCAGTGGTTGAATCCCTTTCCCTAATCATAAGGGTGGTTAGGGTGGGGTTGCCATGGAAACTGCATTCGTACTTCGTCCTTCACCTAGGTGCAACTGTCACATTGTTTGGATGACTTTTGAAAAACGTCAATACCAAGATGAAAAGTAGTTTTCGAAAATAAAATAACACGATATTAACTATCAAAAAATATCCACAAATTCTTCTTCTGAATACAAAATAAAGGTTTTATCACATGAACCTATCATTTGGATACAAGATAAATGGGCCTAAGTAAAATTAAATAATGGAAGGCACGATTCTTTTGGTTGTCTTAAAAAAGAAATCAGCTTTCAACAGAACAAATCTCAATGGGAAAATTTAAACACCCACAAATGTTATACTTTGATAGATCCGAACTTTGGTGTGTGGTGAGATATTACTATTGTATTAGGTTTGAATTAATATGGATCACTGCTTATTAAAATAGCCCTCTTTGATCGTGAATAGTTTTAACAATAAATATAGGCCTAATTATAACTTTGATGCTAGCCTCGTAGCAATGGTTGTCCAATAAATCTTCCAAGAATTTGTCAGGACATGTCTAAACGTAGATCTGACATTATAGAAATTTCTGCAAAAGGATTTGATCAAAAGGCCAATATATCGAAAGGTGTATGCTCGTACCAATGTGACGTATAACAATATATGTTTAAAATTGTGAAATACTCGCAGATAAAACTACAACTACTAGTAGGGCCTAACGTGTTGTATCTACTTATAGAAAGAGATTTTGAAACTCTTTGATGACAAAGATTGATTTATTATTATAGCTCCGAAACTTTTGATCAACGAGAAAATAGAAATATAACTTCCTGGTTGAATATAAAAATGTATGTTTTTTATTCTTTCTTTTACCGTATTAACCGAAAATGACGCTGTGTTCAAGAAATTTTGAGGAAGTAATGAAAACTGTGCCATTTTTTACTCTAAATAGCTTCTTTGTTAAAAATTGTATACACTTTAATTTTTTGTCTTGCGGTGTATGTCAAAAATATAATAAGGTGTTGGGAATATTTACGGAAGAAGTGTATACTGTAAATATTTGCAAAACTCGTGTCCCACCATCCTTAAAGGCCCGACACGATGTCAATGGAGACTGCTCAAACCGAATTGAGGTTCAAGTAGGGAAGAACTTTATAGCAGTCGCATTTTCTAAAGTTATTGTTCAGACCTGTTCTACAGTGAACCACACAAAATAATTATTTTTATCATATTTTATGTGATTTCGCTTAACTTATTTTGAAAACATTAGGTGTCATGGACAGCAGTAACAACTTATGGTGGTCCATTTTCGTGCGGTTTACCGTATGCAGATTTCCAAGGTCGCTTTTATTTTATTACAAAACAGGGAAGAAAAATGACATGTGTGTAGGATAATACCATCATGAATACTAGAGGGCGCGGACGGCAGATCATAAATATGACAGTATCTGAACACTCCACTCCACATGTGCGCGAGTGGGATGTCCCAGGAGACTCTGGGTTACGTCTTGGTCTCCACACATAGCTCAGATTGACACAACCATTCTGCATACTGTAGTGATAGTGTATATATTGAATATGGTTTGACCATATGGCGAGCAGTATTATTAAAAAATTAAATAAACTAATTACTATTCTAAAAGCATTCGTTGGGATAGATGGAATAAAATTCACCGCCATTTAAACGGGCAGCATGGTCAACAATTCAATATAATTCGTAGATTTACATAAAACATCACAGCTGCATCACTGTCAAAATTCAGTTAGATAATTCAGAGATTATTCTTAAGACAAACAGTATAAATTGACTTTAAATTATCAGATACACCTTATATTTATAAAACAGAAAGTAAATAAAAATGCGTCTATTAGCACTTAAACATGTATTTACACTTCTCTGCAGACTAGCCTAAGTGTGATTCCTCTTAGATTTTTACTAAGATATTTCCTTTCAAAACATGTTAGGTTTATTACCTATTTAAGTAGCATTAGGTTTGCTGCTACAAGGAAGAAAAAAGGGGGTTTAGGTTTAATGTTAATAGTATAGTATGAAGTAAAACCAATGTGTCAAATTTTATCAAAATAAATCCGTAAACAAGCGACCTACAACAGTTTACTTTGTCGCCATATGATTAACATGGGAATGTACAGATTTTTTTCCGTGACCTTTCTTCTATACATCAATGCTTCAAAATACTAAATCCTGTTTTTATAAAGTGTACACGAGAAAACTTAAGCTTAAAACCAACAAAGAGTTGCTCGGCTATAGGCAATACGAAATCGCTGAGTGAGATAGTGATTAATATTTCGTTTTTTCATTAGTTTGCTAAAACATTGATTAAAAAATTCTTTTCCATTATCAGATTGAATGTTTTTAACCCCCTTTGGTAGAATGGTTTTAATGGCTTCTGTAACCACCAACCCTGTCTTATTCTTTAGTGGAGCAGCATACGCTTTTTTAGAAAATGTATCTATTAAAGTTAAAATATATTTATTGCCAGAATTCTCTCTAGCATAGTTTTGCATATCAATTAAATCTATTTGTACGGTTTCGTTTATACCTAATACTGTAAAAGACCTTCTAATGAAATTCTTTCTTGCAGGCTTATGAAGTTCGTATGCAATTTCATTAATTTTTTATAACATGAGTACTTCCTTTAACTGTAAATATATATTGGGGCTAACCCAATCAATAGATTGTCTTCTTTTCTTTTAAATACATAGTTTTTTGGTAGGCCTATATATGGTCTATTATATATATACTTAAATCCACTCAAAGATGTGGGGTCGGCAACTAAGGGTCGGCTTTAAGAATAAACCTTTGCCCTTTTTACATGTTTTCTTATCATTTCTTACCATTTTTATTATATAAAAAATGTCTTTTATTCAACAAAAAACACAAATTTAAAATATTACATATTAAGGAAAATATACAAAAGAAGTTGGGTCTATTTCCTACCAATATTCGATGTGTTATTTGTGGTCCAAGCGGAAGTGGGAAGACGGTTGTAATTTATAATTTAATTGTAAGAAATAAAATCTGCCAAGAGTGGCAGATTCCGTCCTCTCAATCATCCCGCTTGAAATGGATCCCCTTCTGATTCTTGAGGTGTATCTTCAGCTGGTCGAGCAATTTCCATGCGGAGCCTGCGGTGGCGGCGCCCAGCAGGATTGTTATTCGTAGCAGGGTTAAATGGATTGGGGATTTGGTTAAGGTTCAATGTATTGGGAATTTCAGGCTCACTGCGCCTTTTCTTTGAAGATATCTTTTTTTGTGGTGTCTTACGTTTCTTTCGTTCAGTAATCAGCGCTTCTCGTCGAGACTGGGCTTCTTCCGACATCAATCGAATGTTTATCTGGATCATTGAGTCCATGTTGAAGATCCTCACTGTGGTAACAATGTTTGCTCGGCACATCGGACAAATCTTCTTCTTCTTGCTGCACTCAGTGATACACTGCTTGCAGAACATGTGTCCGCAGTTTAGCGCAGTAGGTTCTATATAAAGTTCAGCACAAATACTGCGCATAAGGTCATCTTCCAAGCCATCAATTTCTCTTTTAACCTTCTCCTCCTGCTCTTCTTTTTCTTTCAACTTCATTTCAAGCTCCTTGACCTGATCCGCTTGGTTCTCCGTTTCTTGATCTACTTGGTGGAAGTTCAGCCGGTGCGGACTGACCGCAGCCGCGGCTGACCTCTCCTCTGGGTCATGTTGTTTGTTGCGACATTCTTTCATGTGGGGGATCCAGTGTTCTTGCGGCCGTTGATTGTGGAAGATTGGTACTTGTGGTATGCCTGGGAACATGTGCGGACGATACGGCGGCACAGTATCCGGGGGAGGCATCATCTGATAAGGACCTCTAATCCTTTGATCTACTTGGTGGAAGTTCAGCCGGTGCGGACTGACCGCAGCCGCGGCTGACCTCTCCTTTGGGTCATGTCGATCTCACCAACAATCCAATGTTTCAAATTCCTACGCCAGCCGCCACAAGAGTGCACACTATCACCTCCAGTGAGCCTAACACACCACCATTGATTGACCTCATGGATTTGTAGCTGGCCTCGGCTCCTCCGACCAGTGAACCTATAGATCTTACTGGTCTGGACTCCAAAGTGACAGAGGTAAATACAAGCTATACAAATAGCTAGGTAAATACGGCTTTTACCTGCTTTTAGAAATGCAGAGGATTAGAGGTCCACATCAGATGATGCCTCCCCCGGATACTGTGCCGCCTTATCGTCCGTACATGTTCCCAGGCATACCACAAGTACCAATCTTCCACAATCAATGGCCGCAAGAACACTGGATCCCCCACATGAAAGAATGTCGCAACAAACAACATGACCCAGAGGAGAGGTCAGCCGCGGCTGCGGTCAGTCCGCACCGGCTGAACTTCCACCAAGTAGATCAAAGTATTAGAGGTCCACATCAGATGATGCCTCCCCCGGATACTTTGCCGCCGTATCATCCGCACATGTTCCCAGGCATACTACAAGTACCAATCTTAGGTTAGTATAATGTATAAACAATATCATCAATTAAGCTGTATGTTGTGATAATTACTTCCCTAAAAAATTCTCATTTAATGATAATAATAAGTTGTATGAGAAAAAAGCATGTATCTGAGATATTCTTGCGTAAAAACAAGCCAAAATTACATCACGCTTGGTGAAAAACACACTATGACCCATTCGCATCATGTGGTTTGCTTGAACTGGCTTGCTGCATTTTTAGACAAAGGCATAGCAACAATCTACTACTTCAACTATTTACCAGGCTGAGACACCTACTAAGGTAGAAATCACAAAAACCCCGTCTTGCCCTACCTTCCCCTATACGAAAAAAAAAATGATGGCTACAGTTTACAACCTAACCAGCTGTATTTATTAGTAGGAAAGTAATGTTTTAAGTCGCGTGTAGGACAGACTAAAGCTTTTTTTTAAAATAATAACGCATTTTGTGATCAGTGTAGCTTACAAATGTGTAATTGTAATTGTAAATGTAATTTTAATTGTGTTCTTTTAAATCTACTGGCTACAACTTTGATTTGAGAATAGAATGTCAGCCGATCACTTTTCACAAAGTACCTGCAGTAAGGAAAAAATAAAAAGCAAAGATTTGACGAGCGACACATATTTATTTAAAAAAATTATTATACTGAGGAATTAACCAACTAATAAATACTCACAGTACAAAATAACATTATTCAAAAACCTGAGCAAATGGTAAGCACAAAAATATATCTATTTATAAAAATAAAACATTTCTTTCAGAATTTGTACTAACATTATATTCTTTCCCAAAGGCCTCTGAGTCTACTACGATGCTCTACCTCCTTACCTTATATACTGTAACTGTAATACAGTAGAGCTCCAATCATCCAAACTACACTATCAAATTTGTTTGACTATTATTGTGTATCAAATTTGTTTCAGAACTAAAGTTTGAGACAGAAAAGTTAATATGTGTATTATACAAATATATACGTCCACAACAAAGACAGATTTTGAAATGTTACAGACACTTAAAGTATCAATAAGTGTAACATTGAATTAATTCAACATGTATACAATACCCAGCACAACATAGTTTTATTTAAATACATTTTTGCATCTATCATATTTTAAATCCAATTGCCAAATCCTCAAAAAATAAAAATAAGGTAGAATTGATTTGGACGATTGGTATTCTACTGTAGGTTGAAAATTTTAATATTTTACTTTAATTCAAATATGCAACATACATTAATATATATTAAAATTTTGTTCCTTACAAATTTTCAATTCAGCTATTATAAATCAAATTTATTTTGTACTCCACGGTATTTGCCTGTAAAGGAAAAAAATCGTTGATTTCAGTATACTAATTATATTAAATGAAAACACTAAACAACTAAATGTATCACAATCAAAATACCAAGGTCACAATCAACTGGTAGGATAAGTTTCCAATTTCAATTATTCAAGCATGATGGCTGACTGAATTTATTATTTATATAATAATATAAAGCGGGGTACATATTTATATATGAAAGAAACTCAATACATTTCCTCCTTTTAATGACTTTAGTCTGCAGGAATACTCATGTTTGCTACCCATCAAACTCTTGGAGAATCGTAAGCTCACAATTGAGCAAGAAAAATGATAATTTATTTTGTACATTGGCAACATAGCCTTTAGCAATCCATTTTTCATAAGCAGTACAAAGAATAACACAAGATACTTAATATTTTAGTTTGTTATATTGCATACTTGAAATATTATGAAATTATCAGTAATTCCAAAGAGTACAACTATTTTGAATGGAATACATACAAATCTATCAGTTTTCTTTTCACAGCTTGATTGGGTTGATTTTTTGTATAGTTATAATGTGAGCTGGTCTAAAGCTTTCTATACAGTTACATCATAATCTGACTTTTTCGTAGTAATCCAAGGACACACATTAATACAACTAATTATATATGCATACATACATTTTTGAAAAGTTATTTTATACTTTGGCTTCTTTGGATATATATTTAATTGCTCTACCTAATGTTCATTAGCTAAGTCGAAACTTGCAGCGAGAATTTAACTAGTGTAACAGGTTTATCCCTATAAAGAAAATTTGGTAGACCTGTGAGTATACACACAGCAAATTAAGAAAAACATATAAAGGATTCAAATAATTTAACTAGTGTAACAGGTTTATCCCTATAAAGAAAATTTGGTAGACCTGTTATGGTATACACACAGCAAATTAAGAAAAACATATAAAGGATTCAAATGGTCTTAAAATATAATTTGAACTCTGTTATTTTTAAATAACAATTTATAAAATCCGATTTGTGATGTTTTGTATAATGGCAGAAAAATTAGAATACCTTATTTTGCTATTCAAAAAACTGAGCAGTTGACTGAATTGACTGAACAGTTGATCTTCAGTTACTGAATTTGGATAGCATTTTGGCATCGATAAGAACTGTGAAAACCCTCATTTGACTTTTTGAATTCATGCTTTTATGTAGGATACTAGTTTTTTTGTTTATAATGACTGTAGTGTAAAATTGTTGACTTAACGTTTTTAAAGTTTTACACATTGGAAAAACAACCACTATTTTCACCATATTAGATGTATAGCTACATATATATGTGGTGTCATAAAATATAATCTGTATATAGGGTAAACAATGAATGTGAACATCTGTGTTCAAGAAATTTGAAAACACCTACTTTCTACAAAATGAGTCATAATCAACCACTTTTCCCTATGGATACATTTTTATTGGGTTTACAATATGAGTATTTTGATAAAAAAATAAACCCAAAAAATACTTAAACAAACATTACTTTTGATGATTTTTACTAAATTTATTGATTCCACGTGATTATTAGATATAAATCATTGTATTTATCTAATAATCATGTATGATCAATAAATTTAGTAAAAATTGTTCAAAGTGATGTTTGTTTAAGTATCTTTTGGTTGGTTTATCTGGCCAGGGCCCGTGGTAGCCGGATATTATGGGTTTTACTATAAAATAAGTCATAACTATTAAGGTTATACATATGATTGGCAAGAGAAAAATTTCAAACCAGTAACTGTCATTTGTCAGGTATAACTGTTTATGGTGTGTAAATTGTTTACAATGTTGTAAAATAATTGAAAAACCCCGAGCATATTGCATGGACACAATGTTTCAGAGTGAAATAGTGCAGCCACAGTTGTACACTCTCAAAAAGTCCTTAAAAGAAGTAGAATATGCTTGATTGGTTCAGAGAAGAACTAAGTTGTCACAACAACTTAACATGCCAGCCAAGTGGCAATAACTAACCATTAACCACAAACATTTAGAGGAGTCTTGCTTGTAAATTGTCTCTAACAGATTCCTGCAAGTATATAAAAGCAGTTAAACTTTGCTTATGTTAGGAAGGAACTACTTGTAGAAATGTTGTTTGATATTTCCTAAAGTGACATCATAGCAAAATTGATACATCAGTAAAATAGTGTTTTCTATAATAATTTAAAATAGGCAATTGTATTCTTCCATTTATGGAAATAAGATATATATATATATATAAATATATATAATTATATATATAAATAAGATATGTACAATTTTAATTCTATGTCTTAATTAAATATTATGAAGTAGGCCTACCATTACGTGAAAACATTTGTTGATTCTGGTTTTTAAAATAAAGTTTCCTAAAAGTCAGTTTTCTAACAACTATGTGTTCTATTAAATTGGCAATGGATAACCAGAGTTACGCAGCATTCAAAAATGTATGTATACTTGTAAGAAACTAAATGTCATAAAAGTTTAGAACAGCAATGGATTAGAAAAATATGTTTATTATTGCAAATGTTTAGCAAAGCACTTTGGTTAATAAAATAGGAGTTTTGATATCCACAATATCTTTTTCACGATACATGACACAATATTTTAAAGCTGACATTTATAGCACTACTTAAAAATCTACATCAATTGGCTACAGCAATACACCAATTACAATAGGTAATGGAATTTATTATTTCTACAGAGTGGATTTTAAAAAACACGTGGAAACACATTTTGTTTGGGATTAAATTGACTTGCGCTAAGAATAAGTAGACAATATGCATAGTTTTCTTTAGGGAAAAGAGAGGTTAGGTTAAGGATAGAGTCATAACGAGTAATATTTTGTTTAGTTAAATCTACTGTGAATTACAACTCCTCTTACAATATAGCTTGTAGCTTGGCTTCTTGTATGGTAACACAAAATAATTTACAAGACTTCGACAAAAACACTGTTGTAGCAGGGTTCGTTACACTTATATCAGTTTACATGAGGTATAACTGGTGTAATGTTTGGTAGGC